GATGACAATATATTTTTTTTTGGTTTCACTTGGCTATTAAACCCTTCCTGATAGGCTGCCTGCCAGGTTGGTCCCGCCTGCACTTTTATAGGATGAAAGCTGCCTTTCCTCCTCCCCTCAATACCCATCCACAATAGGGGAGAGAAGAGAAGAGAAGAGGGGGCAAAAGAAACTCAGAAGCTCCCCTCATTCCTTCCCTTTGCTTTACGTGGGCAGCGGGATGGCTGCCCTACTTCCTTACAAGGGGTTGTGTCCATTCGGCTTTGATAAATGCCTTCTCCTGGGAACATCAGTATCCGCTCCTTCACATCAGTATCCGCTCACTTCACATCAGTGAGCCCTTCACTGTTTATGTATTTGTTTGTTTTGTGATTGTGCTGTTTCCTGTGGGAGCAAGTTTGATCCAGGGAATATAAAACTGGGCTGTAAACCATGGTAACCTGCTACAGATAGCCACGAAAGTGTGCCAGACCAACTCTGATGCAAGACCTGGTGTCATTAGGGGGTAGGATCCATATTTAGGCCCCAAGGGGTTGCAGACCTGGGTAAGGAAGTTTGGAAAAGCTACCTGAATGCCTAAGGTATGGGGGTTTTTTTGGTACCAATTGAATATAAATCCCTTTTGGATTTACTGCATGCTCCCTTGCTATCTCATGGGATACAGCAGGGTACTGGTGATGTTGCCTGGTTCAGGCCCACCTCAGGAAGGGCCCATCTTCTCAGGAGGAGAGGAGAGAAGAGAAGGTAAAAGGAACTCAAAAGCTCAGGGTGGCTCCCTTCATTTCTTCCTGTTCCCATGTGGGCAGGTAGACAGCTGCTCTATCTCCCTACAATGAGTTGTGCCCATCCTGACACCCCCTTGTAGCTTTAGTAAATGCCTTCCCCCAGGTTCATCAATTTTCCCTATCAGCCCTGAGTGATTAAACCTAATATCTAACAAGGAAGCCATCATTTTACAAAGGCAGAACTTCCTGCTTGATTCCCTTCAACTAAGATCAGAGCAGATGATAGCGTGTTTCCATCAGACTGTTCCTGTGGGACCTTTACATTTTATAATGTTTTTCTTTTACTGGAACAACCAATTCTAACATCTTTCCATCCCCCATGATATCCACACCTTCTAAAGGTAGGAGGAACATATCAGTCAGCGATAGCCATGGAAGTGTTATAGAGTAATACTTGGGCACGACCTAGTAACACTGGAAGGGTAGCATGTATATTGAAAGTGGGTCTGGACACAGGGATTGTTGACCTGACTTATAAAGTTTTTTAAAAGTGATCCAAGTTGTAAAGGATCCACATTTGTAGTACTTCCTGGATGTAAATCCTTCCTCCTTGGCTGCTGCCACCTGTTCACCAAATGGTGCAAATAATAACCCTGCAGGACGCAGGTGGTGTTTTCTCACCCTCCCAGGTGATAGGAGTGGAGGAGAAGGGTGGAAAGTGCAACAACCTTCAGCCTCCATACAAGCAGAAACAGGAGATGTAAGGGGGTTGATTTGGAGGGTGACACCTGGAAGCTCCATGTGCTTGGGGAATGGTGCAACAGCTCTGAGCACACAATGCATCTCATGGCTTTAAGCAACAACACTGAATTCAGTGGACTTAAAATAAAGATCAAAGCTGACATAGTCCAGTTGCAGTCCCCTTATTGCACAGAGATTGCACAGAAGAAACTCAGCAGACCTAGCTGGCATCTGGTTTTTCCCTTCTCTCCTTTTTAGTGCATGTAGCTCCCCTGCTGTTCCCCCTTGCTTCCACATCCTCCTTTGGTAGCAAGTGAAGACAACCTGTGGAAGATCCTAATGCTTCACCTGCTACAGAAGGAGGCACATTTTTCCTACAACTTGGATGTTAAACCCTCTCTGATTAGCTGCCTCCATCCTAGTGCAGGAACAGTAAATTCACATGTGCAAAGGGACTAAATAGTTGTACAGACAGACTTAGTCATGGCTGGGACCAATTTTTGAGTGATTGAGTTTGTTACCTTAAGTTTTTTTAATGCAGGACATTTCCTTGTCTTGGATGTAATGTACACATGTGCAGTGGGGAGTCAGCATGATGGAGGGTGGTCCTGCTATCCCTCAGAGCCATAGAGAAATATATTATCATGAGTGTATGGTTACTGTAATATTATATGTTAATATGGTCATATTAACATAACAATGGAGCAATCATGTGATATCCCCTGACGGCTAGGAAATTAGGTTTATATTTGCTGGATGGTGAATCATGATGATGTCAAAATGTATTTGCTAGACAATGCCGGCAGGCTTGACATGTTGTGATATTGTACCTTTTGTTTAAAATTAGTCTGAAACTTAAGAGCACTGTGCTCTATAAAATACAGCTGTGAATAGTAAGTCATAGTGACAGCCACATAACTTTTTCAGGCCAATGCAATAGGTGGTTACGGTGATTGTACAATGTGTAGTTTGGTTTTTTTGTTAAGTAAGTGCAAAAGTCTGTGTAAGACAATGTAACGATTGTACGGGATGCACCGTTATGATTGTGTATCCCGTACAATCATCTGTAACGATTATACAGGATACATAGTTAGCATAAAGAAATCACACAAACAGAACATCTTGTCAACATCAGCTGCCTTATGTAGCTGGAATATGTTCTTAGTGTAATGTTAGCATCATAGATGGTGCTATGCGACTTCCTATACACTACCAACTTTGAAATTTCTGCTGAAAGCCAGTGCAACTCCACCAATGCTAGCAATGGTGGAAGCACTAAATATAGGAAACTACTCAATGATGGACTGTTTGTGCCCAGAGCTACCTTCATGGTATAAAAATCCTAACAGAGACGTACCTGATGAAGTTAAATGTTTTGCACTCTGGCAAGCCATGAGTTATTATTGCCCTTTTTTGCTTTCATAGATTTCATAGATTTCATAGCTACTAGGGCTGGAAGGGACCTCGCGAGATCATTGGGTCCAGCCCCCCTGCCTAAGGGGCAGGAAGTCAGCAGGGGTCAGATCACCCCAGCAAGATAAGCATCCAAGCATTTCTTAAAGGTATCCAGAGTAGGTGCTTGCACCACTTCTGGGGGGGCAGTCTGCTTTGAAGAAAACTTTCAAGCAGATTGTCCTTCATGAGGTTTCTTTTGGTTTAGAAAATGCGTGCAGTCTTATTGCCTCAGGTTGAGCAGGATCCGGTGTAAATAAAGTTAGCAATGTCAAAGTGAGCCCAATAATCTTCTGCCCATGGCAGGGGACCGGACTTAATGATCTTGCACGTCCCTTCTGGTTCTTCGATTCTAGGATTTTATCACCATCAGTGGTAATATAACAATATTTATCAGCTAAAGTTGTGGCCTATTGCCATAGAGATTGGGTAACCACCTAGATTTTCTTGAGGTGCAGTTTAATAGCAAGATAACTGTGTTTCTGTCTCCTTGGCTGAGTATGTTTATAAGTTGTATTAATATCTTTCATCTTAGCACAAGCTCCCACCTGTGAAGGCACGCCATGTGGAAACAGTGGTGCTGAGTGTATTACTCTGTATCAAAATTATACCTGCCAGTGCCCGTATCAGTTCTACTATAACTCATCAGCTTGTGTGGAAGGTGGGTGACATATGGATGATCCATTTTCTTTATTGACTACACAGACAGTGCCGGTTTTTCCCCCATATCCTAATGCTATAAACCGAAAATAGTTTGGGAAAGAGTCTGTCACTCATATTCTAACAGAGAAATATCTTACTCTGTAGAATCACAAGTACATTATTATTATTATTGATAATAATAATAAAATATAATGTAATGATATATAATGAAT